AATATGAAATTGAAAGATTGAAATATTTGTTAATATAGTGTTTGAGATGCATTAGCTTTCGGTCCGATTCCAATACGATGATTGTCCAGATCAAACAAAACGGTTCTCGTTCGCATGAAACTATTTCCAAAAACCCATTGTATCGGTCTTACGGGCATTTTTTCAAATGATTTAAATATAGTCCAACAAAAATTCTGCAAATGTAAAACGCAATGAGAGAAAAAATAGTTAAAAATGCGTTTAAATGCGTTTAAATGTGATGGCAACTTACGCCTGATCGCATAATATAGTCATGTGAAGTTAATTGGACATGTTTGCCTTGAATAACAAATGAAATTATTGGTAAATTCCGTACTTTGTTACAATCAATATGATATGTAATCGATGACCCCTTAGTGGCACCTATCAGCCCATTAAGTGATTGAATCTCAGATTGTGGACCAATAGTCATGCAGGTACCTGAGTCTATAAGTGCCTGACAGTTGCTTCGACCACTCTGACAATCGAAGCTCTGGGATCTATCATCTTTTCCAACAACGATTTTTTCGAAGCTAAATTCCCAATGACGACGTTCGTTAAGCGTTATATACATAGTTGGTTGAACAGTACACCCACCAAATTGCAATTCGCCTCCGATTTCTCTGCCATGTACATCGTTTCGTTCGCCCTTTTTATGCAATATAAAACAAAATTGTTTGTGTTGCACTGGCATTCGATCCATTATTGATAAATCGTCTCTCTTTTTCGGATATCCCAATCCAAAGATGCCATCAAAAGATCCACTTACATAAGCATGTGGCAGAGTTTCCGAAAAAACTACAGCAAATACTTGACTTTTTACAACCAAATTTCCAATCTATTTGAATGTACAAAAATAAGCCAATAATAATTTTTGTTTCAGAAGTGTCCCTTTTTAAGTGTCACATTACCTTGAATGTATCAGTCAGAGTAATACCTTCGACATGACCTCCACCACCATACGAAATTCGAAATTATTTTTTATCTACCTTGAATGAATCAGACTTGGACGGATCATATCGACGATGATTCACACATCCAGGAGTATAACAATATACACAGGGCACCCAGATGTCTGAACTTGAAGATCCAGTATCTAACAACATCACGAATTTCTGGATATCTTCGGCTTTCTTTGTTTCTCCAATACGTACAACACCAGCCCAATTGCTCTTTAATAAGAATATAAAAATCAAAACGTACTTTGAAAATCTTTTTTTTTTGTTTAATTTCATTTACATTGTCCAAGTTTATCAGCCGTATAGCGTCAACAGGAGGTGAGATTGCGTCGACAATACAAATCAACGCTTGAAAAACACTAATTAAGAATGAAATTCGTTTCATTTTAAAATAATTTGCAGAATTAATTTGAATAATTCAACGAACTGAAATTCGTATCACAAAATTTATTTAACGAGGAATCCCAATGACTATAACGTCGAAAACAAATACGTCAAATGAGAGAAAGATAAGCAACACATTCGTACAGCTGTATTGAGCCAGTATTATTGAATACAATTTTATATAAACATCGTTCACATCTAAAATGTTCAATATTTTTTTCAAAGTCAGAGCGTGATGCACATTCGACACATGCTTCATTTTTTGGATTTCTGGATTACCCTTCATACTAAATGAGGGCAAACTTTTTTCTAAGTGAATAGACTTTTCTAAAGATATTTTAATACGTTGCAGTATTATTTGCAAAGACGAGCCATTTTAACTGCGACGTTTTATATAATTGAAAATTGCTTGTTAAAAGAAGGCATAAACCATAATTATATTAATTAATTAATATTAAATATTAATTTCGTGTTGAACCCGATTCTAAATAAATGTCATTACTTCAAATAGGTTCAAATTTTAAACGAAATGATGTTTACCTGAATTTTTTTAATTGTTCATTTAAAATTGAATAAAGCAAAATCTTTCGAATTTTGTATGAATATTTTCGGATAATAAATAATTCAGACAACAATTTGGTCAATTTACGAAATCGAATACAGTTGAAGAGCAAGAGGATAGTATAGAGACTGCGTCAATTTTAAAGTTTTCTGGATCATTGTGATTCGTGTCACGTAGTCTACTTTACAGGGGGAGGAAAAATTTTTAAGCCTGATATAGAAACACACATTGTATTTTTAAATGACTATATTTATTATTCAAAGTAGTCTCCATGAACACGAATGACACTTTCATATCGATGCTTCAATGCTTTAATTCCTCCTTCAAACCACTCGGCATCTTTGTCCTCCCATACGTTGAAAATATCGTTCGATATCTCTTCTTCGGACTCATATTGCTTCCCCTTCAGATATCTTTTGGTGTTTGGGAACAGGAAATAGTCGCTGGGGGCCAGATCTGGAGAATACGGTGGATGGTGGAGTTGTTCGAACCCACATTCCCTGATGGCAGCTTGTGCAAGCAATGATTTGTGAGGCGGTGCATTGTCATGCAAAAGAAGAACTTTTCGAGTGAGCAAACCAGGACGCTTTTCTCTGATCGCTTTACGCAATCTATGCATTTGTTGTGCATAATAATAGCCCGTGACTGTGGTATTCTTTGGAAGGAATTCAACCAATAATATGCCTTTGGCATCCCAGAATACAGAGGCCATTACTTTGTTTGTGGCAATTTGTTTGCGTGGCACTTTCGATGCTGGTTCACCACGTTTGTGCCATTCCATCGTCTGTGATTTGAGCTCTGGATCATAGTAGTGGATCCAGGTTTCGTCGCCAGTCACTATTCCTTCAAATGTGTCCGTTTCATTCCATTCCAACAACTCGAGAAACTCGTGTGCAGCAGCAATTCGTTCTTCTTTTTGGGATTTGTTCAACGTTCTTGGAATCCATCGCGAGCAAACCTTTCTCATGTGCAATTTTTCATGAAGTATGTTGTAAATACTCTTCTCTGAGATGTCAAACATTGCTGCTAACACTTTCTTGCTCATTCGAGGATTTTCGTGCACGTCATGTTCAATTTTTTGCACTACATCTGAAGCTGTTGCTTCAATTGGTCGACCTGTATGAGGATCATCTTCCAATGATTCTCTACCCCACTTGAATTGTTTTGCCCATAGTTTTACTGTGGCATACGATGGGGCAAGGACCCCATAAACAGCACGCAAGCGATCATTGATATCCTTTGGTGTCACACCTTCTTTTGTGAGAAACTTAATCACCGCACGATATTCGATTTTATCCATTTTTTCAAAAATATCGAGGTTACTTGGTATGCAATGATGTTGAAAACAAACGACGACAGATATCAACTCAATTTTTTTCTGCAATACTATTGACAGTTCGTACGTCAATTACAGCACAAGAACAATTTGTAACTAGTGCCGTCTATATGTCAGGCTTAAAAATTTTTCCTCCCCCTGTAATTCGATATAATCCAGGCGCAATAAAGAATAAAACACAGCAGTTTCCGTAAGTTTTTCCTCAAGGCAGACCGATACAAACGATACAAAACAAGGTCTATATCTAATTAAATATGTACAGTATACACCGTTGAGTGCGATCCGAAATGAAAACGATAAAACGTAATGAAAAGTATCCAATTTAAACGGTCGCTTTGGAAAAGTGCAATGGATAAAGAAGCCGTGAAAAAGTTCTTCGAACAAACATTGAAATGCAGAAAGCAGTTCATTGAATAAAAGCCAGAAATACATGTATTGGGGCAACATTCGAAATCGACAACCAAAGAAAAAAAAACATCGAGAATGAATAAAATTAGACGAAGCCATAATTAATTTCAACTGGAGAGAATGACATGGAATCCCAATTCGAGTTGGATCGAAGCCTAAAAAAATCGATATTGTTAAATCATTGTATCCAAAAACATATTTTTTTTTCATCCAATGTCAATAAAAAATGTCTGGCTTGTCAAGAAACGAATTCGCTTGTTATTGAGCATTATGAATAGGTCTAATTAGAGGCGTTAAAGAGAAAAGTTATAGATGTTGGCAAAAATGTGAATCTTTGCTTCTTTTTTGAACTTGAGAAACAAACTCATCAACGTGACGATTGTGAAGAATTTACGATTTGTTTCTTGACTGTCGAATGCTTCATCAACAGCACAAGGTGCCAAAAATTGAAAAACGTAATGTTTTTTTTTTGCTTTTCCAATTTCACACATTGATTAGCGTGTTTTTCTCTTTAAAAATATTGATAAACTATTCGATGCGACAGAAAAATGTTCTTTTTTCTTTTGCTGTCTAAAAGCTCACAAATTGCGCTAAATGAATCGACAACAAATTGAAACAGACGACGCGATTTCAAATATCCGAACGGGATGGCTTCATAAACAATTTAACGTTTTACTTTTGTATGTGTGTGTGTATCAAAAGAGACGGAGTTTCTCTGGTAAAAGAACCCACAGATGACATTCATTCCAAATGTTTCTACCGGAAAACGGAAATTGAATTTTTTTCTTCTGTTAACAAAAACGTTACGATGTAGCACATCAAGAGAGAGACTGTCTCATTTTCTCTAAAAGAAAATAAGATTTCGTAATAAATCGAAAATATTCCAAAACATTCAAAGGACAATTTCCACTTCAAATTTGCTCTATTGAATGGCAATAGCGAAGTGAACGTACTTACAAGTATATAGAGATTTAGTTATCAATGCAGTCGTATTTTGAGATGAGATAAAACATGTTTTTCCATGAAATCAATGCGGAAAAGATGGCGGTAATAGATGCAATTCACTGTATTAGACGGATGTTACTGTTGCGTCTGCATTTGAATTACCGTGCTTTGAAGCAAGAGAATTTCGATGTCTTGAAAAGACAGTTCTAGTGATTAAACTCATAGTTTGTCACGCAAATGATAGACACATGTAGATTTTAATAGTCGTCGATAAACGCTACTTAGATATAAGTCAGACACTGTTTATATGTACGCGAATTAATAGCTGATTTGTGATTTCCACATAATAACTTATCATAGACTCATAGTGTACAATATGGTGTTTTTTTCTCAAGTTAATTTTATTTTATATCCAAATCATTTACAATTGTTTTTTAATACGTATGAAAATTACACTAGTTAGAATTAAAGACATTTTTAAAAATTCGAATATACCACGGTCTTTTACCCGGCTCAGAAAATCCAGGAGTTCTTTTTAACAGTTCAGCTATCTCAGTATACCCTAAGAGAAAGAATTTTGTAGTTTTTTCAGAAACTTCTTTAACCTTTTTCTCATATTAACTGTTACCCACCTCCTTGATTAGCTAGAAAAAATGGTGTCTCTTTCTCATTATTACTGGCATTTATATTAGTTCCACGTTGAATCAGCAGCTGAACAATGCTGATATAACCGTTTGCAGCTGCATAGTGAATTGGTAAATCACCGTAAGAATCAACACAATTAATGTTCGCGCCATGGTTCACCAAGAGGTGTGCCACTGCTATTTGACCTAAAATCACACGAATCAATCAAACGCTGTCTTTTTTTATTCCAAAATATTCCCTACCTTTTATTGCTGTCAAATGCATCGGTGTAGTTTTTTTGTAGTTTAAAGCATTTATATCGGCTCCTTGACTGATCAAAAACTGCACGATCTCTTTCTGTCCATTTCTTGCTGCGTCATGGAGAGCAGTATTGTTGTATCTATCTCTTCCATTAACAAGAGCTCCGTTTGTTAATAAAATTTCAACAATTCCTATATAACCTGCAAAATTGGTTTAAATTTATAAAATGTTTCATGTGGTGTGTCACGCAACTAACCTTTTGCAGCAGCAATTTGCAGACAATTGCCCCCATAATTATTTACTGCATGCACATCAGCTCCATTGTCGATTAGAATTTTGACTATTTCTTCATTGCCTGCAAATTCATTTGGTAATAGTTGTTTCATTATTCATATTATCTTTATATTTTATTTTGATTTTAATGCAGTTACCATTTCGAGTTGAGATGAAAAGAGGTGTCTCGTTGAATTTATTTTTTGCATTTACATCGGCTTGTCCAATTACAGCGTTTACTCGTTCCGTATCACCTGAATGAATGAACCGTTTTAAATTTCAAATTCAGTTTCATTTTAAAAATATTAATTTTGTTCACCTTTTTCCACTGCTTCAAATAGTTGTGCATCTTTATTATTGTCTATTGGATTTGCAATGACCGCTTGTTCGCGTAGAACATTGAGGCACATAAACAAAATTAGCAATGATTTCATTTCGACGGAATCAGATTAAAAATTTAGTAAACAAAATCCAATTGAAATAATGAAATGTAATGAATATGGCTCAGAAAAGTGTATAAATAAATGATCACTGAACAACAGTAAAATTCGAACTAAATACTAAGAATCAAGTTCCATTTTAAATATCTCGCTTTTGCTTGCATCGGGTTTTACCATTTATTGTCGTGTATTAAATGATAACACGTTTTGAAACTGTTTCCATTCTATCAGTGCCATTTTTTTGCATAGATGTTCGTGGGAATTTCCGAACGTTGGCAAACATATCTTATCAGCTTTGCTAAATGTATGTATGCGTAATGTATAAACGTAAGCAACAGGCACGAAACCAGTCACACTGTGATTTCCGCTGCTCTTGAACTTCGCTGATATTGATGCTGGTATGTGTTGCTGGATCTTCCGTATGTATAAATTGATTAGTGACTTTAAATTGTTCAATGAAACTCAGTCGTATCAAGCGAAATTAAACATCAAGTTTTTGCATTAGCAAGGGATAGACAGCTATTGATTTTGAGTTGTAATTGATTGGTCGGTAAAACAAGCATTATTATTTAGAATACTGTATAATGTTCATTTTTTGTTTAAACCTTGGTTAGGTACAATTTAAATTAGCATTTCAATAAGAAAATAACACTCAATAGTTTTTTTTATTGTATTAAATGATTTACATTCACATTTCTTTCAAATAATTTTTAAATTTAAGATGTGATGTAATACAGAATTGTGGATCATTGATATCATTCATTTCCTTTGAATGTTTATTGGCGAAATATCAATCCTATTCATTTCATTGCATCTTCCAATTTTGCACTGTAAATTGAAAAATTTTCATTACCCAGTGACTTGAATGTACCATTAAATAGACTTACTTCAGTTTATCCAATTTTTCTCTATTGATAATAAACAAATAATTATTTCAATAAGAAAATAATATAAAATCTTTGATTTGAAATAAAGTCACTTACTGCAATTTCTTAACTTTCTTTTCACTGTTGAGAAAAATTAGAAAAAAAATCAATGTGAATCGTGCGATTACATACGAAAAAATTAAATATGTTCTAAAATATTAACTATTTTTTAAGTTGTTTTTGGCGATCCTTGACAATTTTCTCCTTTGCCACCTTTTTTGCGGTCAGAGTCTTGACGGTTTTCTCGGCATCCCTAAGTTTTCTACAGTATTTTGAATTTTGATTTGATAAGTGACTTATTCACAGCTGTCTAAATTTATTTAAATTCGATTACATTTGATCAGTTATGTCCATTTGTTGCTTCCCTCCACGAGAAGTGGATGCACCGGTACCCTGACCATTTTCACCGGCATTTATTGGGCTTTGAAATTAAAATATTATTATTTGTTAACAGGATGAAATCAACTTTTCCATTTCTTCATTACTTACAAAGTCGCGACTGCCAACACGATTAAGATAACAACGAAAATATTACGGAAAAATAACATGTTATTTGAAGGTTTGTTTGTTCTGTTCTACTCAAAACGTTTCAAGAATATAATACTTTTTGTTAGTAACAGCACCATATTTATATGTTTTTGGGCAATTTTTTTTACTTTGAAAGCAAATAGAATTTAACGTTGTTTGGCTCGAAAAAATTCATAAATTACGAATGGCAAACATTTCAATATCAATAATTTACACCTGTCGTCCTCTACTCTTTCACAAATTATTTCCAAAAAACATAATCTACTTCTCAAATGCAGACAATATATTTAGATTTCGTCATCTGGATAATTCAGCTCATCTGGATAACGTTAGGCGATGATACGAAATGAAAACAATAGTGATTGTTATAGTTATGGTCGTATTTTTATACCTATACAATACAACAATCACTTCTATTGTTTTCATTTCGTATCATCGCCCAACGTTATGTGATGAGCTGAAATATCCAGATGACGAAATCTAAATATATTGTCTGCTCAAATGCAAATTATTCGCGTAAACGTTTATTGAGTTAAGAAACGCGATAATATACACAAAATTCAAGAAAAGAGAAGATTCCGAACTATTTCAACAACGAACACATTATTATATTTACCTACTGTTTGTTAAATGTGTTATCATGTGTGGAAACACATGCTTCGAATTATAAAAAAAGTACATGTACTAATTATTTATTTATTTATTGCAAATGTTTTCAACAAAATTTAAGAAACAAGTTATTTTTGAAATAAGACACATTTGTATTATATTCACCAGTAAAGGTATCGAAGTGTTAATAAAAGTTTTCCATTTCACCTATATGGATCGATATAATGTGCCGAAAAAATATATTTGTGAAAATAAGGGAGGCCCAATCGAAATAGGGGAGGCAGGGGAGTACCCCACCATGTCAAAATTTGGTCGGATCGAAAAATATTGTACTACAAAGTTGTTCAGAATGACGAGAGAAATTTTCTAGGACCCCTGCCCTCCAAGTCCCCCCATTTCTTAGAATTTAATGTGGTACGCCGGGGGTCATAACTCTTTCACCCATGACTTTTTTCAACCGAAACCTCGAAATTCGGAATCAGCATCCCAAATTACCCTAGAAATGATATTCGTCTCGAGTCCATTCACCCCAAGTCTCCCAATAGTTCAGAGCCCCCCCATTAGGGTAAAATGATACAAAGTCGACTTTTCACTTTTTGGGTGCGGAATTTTGCACTCAAATGTATGACCAACTATAGCTAATTTTATTCGCACATTCCATTTAGGCCATTGCCCATCCCCTCCCATCACCCCCAAGGGGGGTCCCCCTACAAAATTTACGAAAATTTCGAAAAATACCCCGAAATTGGGTCCATACCCCATCTAACCCCAAAATTAATGACATATTCGGATTCCTCGTAAAAAATTACCCATAGGCTCTATACATTGTCAATCTCTCTTGACCTACAATTTACTCCTTATAACTTGAACCTTCAATTCGGGTCGAAAAGTGAAAATACCCCATTTCGTTGAAACTTCACAATGGGATATTCACCCCTTATGACTCAACTGGGCATTTGGGTTTCTCCTAATGAAAGTTACGCATGTCAATGTAGTTTCCATTGACATATAGTTTTGGCCGCCCTGAATGACCCAGTTCGGAGGGCGGGGGACAAAATAATATAAAAATGAACCCTCGCCCTCCGAACTGGGTCATTCAGGGCGGCCAAAACTATATGTCAATGGAAACTACATTGATATGCGTAACTTTCATTAGAAGAAACCCAAATGCCCAGTTGAGTCATAAGGGGTGAATATCCCATTGTGAAGTCACAATGAAATGGGGTATTTTCACTTTTCGACCTGAATTGAGGGTTCAAGTTAGGTGGAGTAAATTGTAGGTCAAGAGAGATTGACAATGTATGGAGCCTATAGGTAATTTTTCACGAGGAATCCAAAAATGTAATTAATTTTGGGGTTAGATGGGGTATGGACCCAATTTCGGGGTATTTTTCGGAATTTTCGTAAATTTTGTAGGGGGACCCCTGAATGGGCTCGAGACAAATATCATTTCTAGGATAATTTGGGATGCTGATTCCGAATTTCGAGGTTTCGAGTTAAAAAAGTCATGGGTGAAGGAGTTATGACCCCCGACCCCCCTGGGGGCTGGGGGGACTTGGAGGGCAGGGGTCCTAGAAAATTTATCTCGTCATTCTGAACAACTTTGTAGTACAATATTTTTCGATCCGACCAAATTTTGACATGGTGGGTTACTCCCCTGCCTCCCCTATTTCGATTGGGCCCCCCTTATTTTCACAAATATATTTTTTCGGCACATTATATCGATCCATATAGGTGAAATTGAAAACTTTTATTAACACTTCGATACCTTTACTGGTCAGAATCGAATCATTTCACATGCAAATATCCATTTTATCAAAATTTTCAAATATGCAATTGGTATCGTAACGATTTTACATATATAATAGGTTCTCCCATTTGAAAATTTGTATGAAAATATAAAAGCAAGTAACACTATACTCACTGACGAATCCATGATGAATATTAAATATTGTCGATTTCTTAGCAGTATTTTATGATTCGACTATTGATCCAAAGTTCAAATTAAATTAAACAAACAGCAATTCAAATTCATTATTACATATTGTAGCCGTTCAATGTATAAATTCCAATGACCTCCATATTTGATGGCATTTTCGCACATTTCGACCATGTGATTCCGAAAATCAAAAAGTTTTTGCCAAAAACTGTTGACTTTTTTATACCACAGATATAGTAATTTATTTACCAAAAAAGTCCAATTATTTTGTTTTCTGTATTCCAGAAGTGGTTTCCATTTTTAATGTAATGGACTTGCCACAGATTTTTTCCCATTTGGTTACTTTTTCTCTCTCTTTCTCTCTCTTCCTATTTTCTTTACATTAACTATATAGATCAAAGTGAAATGCGAATTGCGTGTATAACAAACATGAGATGCTGTTTTTCTCTGTCTCTGTCTCGATGGCGCAGAGCAAATAAGATTTCCATCAAATGAAATAAACGAATAAAAAAAATCACAGCGAAAAGAAGAAAGTTCACATTGTAATTGCGTCGCTGGTTGAGTGACACAAGAGTAAATAATATTCATAAGGAATTTCATTTGAAATGCTTTTTGTTCCCCAGTGAGTGAGAGATTTGTTCGTTTGTTTGTGTACATTTGGGTGCGACGCTCTCAAGCTTAAATTATTTAAGTTTAATATGATAACGAGCAGAGGCTTGATGTGTTCGCTTCGGCATCTATGCTGCATTATGTTTTGCGTTTTATTACTTAAATAGCCATCGGGCTACCATACAGTGGTCCTTTCAAAATATTTAATTTAAATGTACTTTTTTTTGAATCGACACATAGTAGAAAAAAAAAACTACCAAACATTTCTTGCAGCAATTTCATTGTCCATTTTATAAGCTTTTAATAAATTGAATCAAATACAGAGACGCAGCAGTGTATATCGACAAATAGAATCGAATTGCAATAGTACAAGCCCTTGGGGAAATCTATCAATTTATTCTTTGTAACAAGCGAGTTAAAAAAAAAGAACGGAATGTGTATGGGAAAACGGTGCCGGTTTCAATTCTGATTGAACATTTGTTCAAACATTGGTGGGCAGTAAGCTCAATATCAGAGAAACTAAAATAACTCTCCCAATCTCTCTATAAATAAATATTTGTAAATGTTTCGTCATTCGGAATTACATACAACAATGAAAATATCAACAAATTATTGAATTTCAGACGAAGGTATTTTCGCTGGTTAACAGAATAAATCATGAATTATGTTAATGGTATAGTGTCATCACTGTCAATAGATCAATTTGAGGCCTTTGATATTGTAATTAAATGCATTGTTGCACCGTGGGCACTATGGCAAACCGAGTAAAAGAGATTGGGTTCACGAGTGGAAGAGAGAGGGAGATGGATATTTGTGGAATCGAGATGTGAAAAAATATGAATGGAACCATAGAGCTTATGGCCAATTTTCAAACAGTGACATATAAATTTAAATGAATGCTAATTTGATAACGGAAATACTATAATGGACAAAGTGAAGCCGTGACATATGTGGCTTGGTGTTTGGCTCTCTCACTAATTTATTTGTATTTTAAAGTTCATCAGAAAGATCAATCATCAATGACAAAAAGCCAAATTCTAATGAAAAGCTGATTTACTATGAATGATGATGATACATTTACTACATTACAAAATTCATGTATGACCAAATTTGTGCAGTTGTTGAATACGTCGAGGCCTCATAAATTCAATGTAAATATTTGCAAAGATGACTTGATTTGATATTCGTGGGGCAGTTTCGGTACAATATGTTCGTTCGTTTGAGAAAAGCAAAATAAACATATCGACTTCAAAACAGTAAATATATCCGGGTAAATATCAACCAATATTCAGTATCTATTAGTTCGGTGTACAATCTCCAAACTAAACGAAAAATTACAATATAGCTTTTGATATAGACCGGTTTATGGATGAAATATCCAATTTTAAAGGCTTGTTTTGTTGTATAATATCGATGCAAATCAATGAATACCAATTAAAACGTGTATGTGTATTGGCTGTGTGCTGACCTCACAGCGACTTATATGCTATTATTTTAGCTACGTTCAATCTCTCGTTCGAATGCCCATTGTTTCGATTGTATCGCATAAGTCGAATTATAAACAGACACTTTTGAAACATTATGCCACTATCAAAGTCACGTCGAATCCAAATGTCCGAGATGGAATTTCTCCGATCGCCCTTTTACCGTGAATCCATTGTGTCCAAACGCAACGGAACGGCCGATAACCATGGAAAATTGCATGATTTACAAGCATCAATCTGTAGATTTCCATTAAAGATATTCCAGATCCAAGTATAAAATGCAATAAACCTGAATGGAACAGGGAAAAATTCTATTGTTCAAGTTTGCGTCAAAGTGATAGAGATACTAGCGTGAAACGGAGAGAGAGAGAGAGGGACACTCATTTCTTCGGGAAAAGAATTATAAGTAATTGCGTTTTCGACAACATTTAAATTGTTCGTTCGATTCGT